TTGTGTGGTCCCCAATTGATTTTTTTTTTTTCTGTGGGTCAGTGGCCCCAAACCGAAAAAAGGTTCCCCACACTGCCATAAATTTAAAAAAAAATTGAATTTTTTTTTTGTTGGACGATAATGTTTTACTTAGTTTATCTAACTTAATTTTAAATAAACATGCGAAAGTTAAAATACAGAATTATTACTCTGTTTAATAATTTAAATTAAACCGTTTTCCCCAGCTGCAGCCCAAACAAAATGGCTTGTGTGTAATTATGTAATTAATGGTGAGTTTCAATTAGCAAGGGGTAATCTGCAGAAAGGTTTGGAGGGGCTGGGGCCTCAAGAAAGGGGTGGGGTCTTGGGTAAAGGATGGGATAGATCTTGGCTTGTCATGACATTTAAAAAGTGATCTTGGGAGTAAAAAGGTTGGAAACTGCTGCTTTAACTTTTTTAAGTTGATGCATGATGAACTTTTGGTAGCCATGAAATTTTAGTGGTAAACTTATATTTACTTCCAGATTCTCTACCCCCGCATAGTACATTGTGATTGATTTAATAGGACTGCTTGTGGAGTCAGAATACTCTTACTTATTAAGTAGTTTCAGAATATGTCCATTAAAGAACATGAATGAATCAAAGAGGACTTAATCCAATGCCTGCTGAAGGATTGATAATTTGGGGGAAAATAGGAAAAGGAATTTATTTGCTATACTGTATGGGTGATTAAATGGAAAACTAGGTGAGGTAGGCAATAGATTTAAAAACAGAAAAATTAGTTTGAAAATAGACATTGGGTTTTAAAAACTGAAAACAAAATTAAAATAACATAGGGAATGATTTAGAACAAAATAAAAACCCATTGAGGTTGACCCATTCCATAACCCATTAAAGTCAATGGGACTGTTCACAATGTATAAAGGTATACAAATGTATGTTGTATGGTATAAAGGTATACAAAGGTATATGTTGTATGTATGTAAATCTTAGTAGGATCAGGGCTGAAGAAGTTCTTAAACACTGGCCTTCTAAAGGATACCCAAATCTTTTTATTTTCTAAATGGGATATATTTTGAAAAAATCACAATAGATAATATTAAGTTAGATATAAGGACTTCTTTCTGAATTCCAGTAATTATTTAAATACTTTAACTTGCCTTTCATAATGGGCCTGATCATGATTTATTTAGTTTTCATTCTTTGATTTCCTTTTTTTGACTACTGAAATAGGGTTCAGAAATAGGGAATTGGATTTTTCTGAAATTTTGGTTTATGGAAAAAGCCAAACAAGTCTGTTGTAGTCCAGTGCAGAGAAGATAATGAGAAATGAGTATATCTTACACTGTCAGAACTGTGAAAAAATAATTAAAAAATAGGCAGAGCAAGTTTATAAAATTAAAAATAAAATAAATAGGAAAGACCACTTTTGCAGAACTGCATTCAGTCATTAGTATGCTTAATAGATAACATTAGAAGCAGACAAGAATTCAATAGGCTGTATTGTTGTCAATTAAGATGGAAATCTGGTACTCCTTCGCTTGACATAATCTAGATCTGTAAAGGTATGACTACAGCAGAGCCTCAGTTTAGCACAGTTCCCCACATGAGGAAATAGCATATGAAAAACCAACTTGGTAGGGAGAATTCCTTTTTGTCAATGCAGAATCCCATTTTTGAAATTTTGTACCTTTTATGCACTCAGTGTATTTGATCTGGATGTGGGAGAAACACATCATTTGAGCCAATTTCCATCTATTCTACTAGTATATAATCTGAGCTGTTCCATCAGTCATAGATAATGATTTTAAGTGTAATCCAGTTAGATTTGTATTACAATCGTTTAATTGCAGAAAGGATCTCAAAAGTCTTAATGGCAGTATAAAGACAGTTTCCTAGACTGTTTCTTATTTTTACTTTCAGGTGAGGTTGCTTTTCAGCCTGAGGGTTACATAGAATCCAGGGGTGTCGTGACCACCTTCTTTTTCTTTATCACTAGATGGGAAAAGATTCTCAAAACTTCAGTTTTATAAAATTGGGTCAATGGTATGGATGAAGCTGAGAGCCACTGAGAGGAGAGATACTGTGTTTTATTCCTCCCTTCCCTGTCCAGGAACTGTGCCCTCTTTATTTCTGAAACATTACTCCTCACCCCCGTAAAACTGAAATTGAGCAATCCTTGAATATACATATGTTCAGTGCATTCATCATATGAACACTGAAAACTGCGTTTTTAAAAACTGATTAGTTAAAGAATAAATTTTTCTAGTAGAGCACAATTTTACAGAGTTTATGCTGAAACTAGTGCTTGAAACTTTTTTCCCCCCTAAAATAAGGTTTTTCAGTACAAAGACTCGTTGGTAAGCGCTAGATAGTTACCGTATATTCCGGCGTACAAGACGACCTCTGATGTTAAAAAACATCCCCCCAAAATCGGGGGTCGTCTTGTACGCCGGATGCACCGCCGCCGGAGCCCCTCCGCGGCTTTGAAAGCCTCGGGGGAAGCCGGCGGCGGGGGGGGCCCCGC